TGCTGAAGTGAATATTACACCAATACCACCACCACCATTTCTAAGGGGTCACTGCTTTCCTTGCAGTGACTCAAGCTGTGCTATTGTTGAGGGATTTACAGAAGAAATTGCATCTGCTCTGATGTGCTAAATTTGCTCTGGAAAATAACAGAAAAAAAGTCAATTGAATTTGGGATTTTTAATATCATTGAATGTAGTAAGACTATAATTGTCAGAAGTAATATTAAATATGATCTAATTAAGGTTATGTGATCTAAAGATATTGAAGATGTCAGTTTCAATCTATTTAAATTTCACTTGGCTAGTAAAAAAATATGTATATTTATATAGATATACATTTGTATAAAACTGTCACATAAGGCAGTGCCATCCCATGCCTTCATTTAGGGCAGCAGTGATGGAGAAGCTCATAAGATGCTCTACACTGACACCAACTTCAGTTTGTGATGACCTCAATAAACAGTAGCAAGCTTAAAAATTGCCAGTTTGAGAGACTTAGGAATGACAATTGTCAGATCTGTCTGTGATGTTAGAAAAGTTCTATTGTGATGAAGTTAGTGATTGTAATATCCTAGATAACACATAGGAGAGGCGCAAGTTCTCCAGTAAGCAAAAGATTCAGCCTTCAATAGAAAGGTGTATATGTATCTTTGGATAATAATCACTAATTTCATCCCCAATGTACTACCAGAAAGTACAAGGTGGGCAGCTGGAGAAGCTGGCAACCAAAATATGCCATGAAGAGTTGCCAGGCAATCCTCTCCACTGCTGTTAGACACGAAGTATATATGAAGATGAATTTTTATTTTTATATGACTGTTATATTGTTAAAATGGTGATGGAGACACTTTATGAATGAGACTTGTTGGTATTTGGCAAGTTTGTGGTTGAAGTTTGGGGTGTGAGATTGCCACAGACCGCCTGGTGTTGAACAATTTAGCAATCCTTAAAATGAGATTTAACTAAAATAAAATGGTTTAGACCCCTTTGATAAGGTGGCACATTTGGATTTTTGCAGGATGACACTTATCCTAAAAAGAAAAGGAAGATTATATTTGTAAATGTGTGTATATATAGCATTGATTGATGAGGAGGCTTAACCCAGTGGGAGAAAATTTCTAACATTTTCTAAGGACAACTTGGCTATTTCAAGGAATGTTAACAGTACCCATATGATGACTTCAAAATGCAAACAATATTTTGCTAATGCTCCACTGCTGTTTGGTAAATTCAGGGAGCTATGAACTGTATGGTTCTAAAGGATGGCGGGGAACTTAAGAATGGTATTATGTTTATCGTTGTATTTGGGATTTAGATCATATATTTACACGTCCGATACATGATGTTGAAGGTTGTCAGTTAACAGTTCACTCTTTTGTCAGAATTTGCATTAAAGCTAATCTTGTAAGCTCATGTAGCCAAGGATGCTACTGGGAAGGGTATAGCTGAGTTTGTACCCTATAATGCAGAAAGAAACTCTTCTGCATCAAAGTTTACTTTTGATTTTCTTTAAAGTTTGTGTGCCATGGTTTCTCATTCGGAAAATGAAAAGAAAAAAAAATTGTAGCTTTTTGCGCACTTCAAGTCAAATTGTTAAGATTTCAAATTTACAGCCTATGCTAGAAGATGCTGTCATGCTCTTTCAGTTTTGTACTGTGTGGATCAACTTGTAGGTGAACACAATATGATCGGCTTTTAATTGTAAAGAATTTTGCCATTAGTTGTGCATATTGCTGCCTTCCCCTATGATGGATGTTAATCTGAAAGGGAAATGACTTACTCGAGATATTGATGTATTGATAATGAGAAGATGTACTTCTGTATCAAAATGAGAGGATTAGATAATGTATCTATGTGAAGAATTAGGTCTTACAAGTTTTCTGGCTACTGTATTGCCAATTATGATGCCCATGATAATTTTTTGAGTAACAACATGGTGTTTAATGATTGAATTTTATTTAAAGGGGAAAAATATATTGCCTTCATTTATGTAGAACTCTCTACTCCACTGTTACAAGTGGGAGCAAAACTCTTTTTGTTCATTTATCTTCTTGCAACATGTCTGTGTTTCAGTGAGGGGCCCATGTTTGTGTAATATTAACTTAGTGTCATGTCTTGCTAATGGAACTCTCACAGTCCTATCATGCACTTTACCATTTGCTTCTTTACGATACAACAACCCCACCAACAGTTAATTGGAGTGAGGTAACATTTTCTGGGTCAACATTTATATATAAATTGTCACAGAGTTTTTACCCTCCATATCTGAAAGTCAGAGGGAGGCCAGACTACCCCCTGGAGGCTGTGCTTGGGATGTCTCACACTTGAGATCTCTCAGGCTCTGAAAGGGAGAGAGCTGGGTTCCTCCCTGGCTGCAGGCTCGACCTTCAGTCCTGGAGTGTCAGTACCGGGTTGCTTCAATGTACGTTGTATACATGCAATTGAAAATTTAATAGCTACTTGCATCATAGCATTAGGAAATAATGATAATAGTAGGTCT